GTTGAGGTTGCCATTCTCCAGCGGGAGGGACGGCGGCTGCACACCGGTAAGGCCGGAGGGTTGGCTAAGTGGCTCTGAGCACCCCTGGGGACAAGCGACCACGCAGGGCTGGTGCCGGCTGCGCATCGCCCCGCCCACTTGCGGGACACCAAGGGGGGGCCCCGGCCCCGGCCACCACCGCGGCCACCACTCCCCGCGCCGGGACCAATGGGATCCTGCCCGGCCCACACGTCGCGCACAGCCAGCGCGTAAATAGGGGCAGGAGCGGGACCGTGTTCCCGCAGCGAGCCCGGCTCCCCGGGAGATGCTGGCCGGGAGGGAGCCCAATGGGGGTCACCGGGGCCAGAGCACTGGGGATGTGTCACGGCAGCGCTGAGTCCTGAGAAACTTCGCACCCCAGGGACGCGCGGCTCCAGGAGGCAGCGAGGCATTTGCCAAGCCTGAAACACAGCCCTGAAACGCTGGAGCGTCTCAGCCCCCTGATGCCGGACACCAGCCCCCACCCACCCCCCTGCACCCGGGTGCCAGGCAGCCCGGCCAGCCGGAGCACAGGTACGCGGCAGCCTCAAGTGAGACGCGGCAGAGCTGGGCAGGGCGATGCTGCCCTTTAACTCTTTTCAAGCCTCACGGCTGGAATCGGGATCCTCCTTTGCAAGGTGCAAAGGGGCATCTGTGGATGCTTGGTAGAGCCCCCCACCAAGACAGCACAGGGGGAGACCGGGGAGGACCACGGCACGTTTTCTCTTGCATCTCGTCGAGCCTGGCTGTGCTGCCAGGCTGCACAGAGGCTCTTGCCTGGCACAATGTCCCCGCGGGTGCCCACAGACCCACTCTGGCCGTGGGTGGCGAAGCTGCTGCTGCTGCTCCAGCTGTGCACCCATGGCCGTGCTCCCCGTGCCTCCCTGCTGCCCCGCAGTTGCCCCACCGCCTGCATCTGCACCTCTGACCTGCTAAGCTGCAGCCGGCAGACGCTGCAGCGCGTGCCCCGGGACCCACCGCCACCACGCTGGACGCTGG